GCCAAGCGCTACCATGTGTGTCAGATTCACGCTAATTACATACATCGATCGCCCAAAGACCTGCACCCGACAGGGACTTTGTGACCATTTGAAATATAGGGGATGGACATCGTCGGACTGATATCTCTACCATCAGCAAAAGGTCATCGCTTCAACCTAGCGATAACTGATTACTTCTCTAAATGGGCCAAAGTTGTTCCTTTAAGAGAAGTCAAAACCAGCAATATGATCAAATTCATAAAACATCACATCATCTATAGATACGACGTTCCAAGACGTATCATTCATGACAACAGGTCGTAATTCATTAGTCATGCATTCCCTCAGTTCTGTGACAAGTTCAGAATATAGAACCTAGCGTCCACTGCTTATAATCTGTCAGCAAATGGACTAGCCGAAGCTTTCAACAAAATGATTGTTAAGATCTTAACGAAGCTGACATCTGCTAGCAAATGCGATTGGGACGAGAAGCTCGATGAAAGCTTGTGGGCATACCGTACTATGGTCCACACCCTAACAGGCACCACATCTTATTCATTGGTACACGGTTGTGAGGTCGTACTACCTTTAGAAATTCAGATTCCATTCCTACACATCGCACTTGTGACAGGGATGACCACTGAAGAAAGTCATCAACGATGTCTCATAGAATTAGAGGCATTAGATGAAAATCTGCTTGAAGCTTAACAGTATATTGAGTTCTATCAAGCTCAAATATCCAAGGCTTTCGACAAGAAAGTCAAACACAGATCTTTCAAAGGGGGAAAGTTGGTCCTCGCTGTTCGACGACCAATGATACTCAACTCTAAAAAGAAAAGAAAATTCTAACCTAAATGAGAAGGACCATTCGTAATAGAGACGGTCCATTCGAATGGAGCTTATGACCTCGTCAAACCGAATGGCAATAAGATCATGATGCCTATTAACGACAAATTTCTAAAGAAGTACTACCCATAATCTTCCTTCAACTCACACAAAGTTATCACGTAAACACTCACCTCCGATAGCTGATCTCTTCCAAATTCCCTCGTCGATCCTCTTCAATAGGATGACAGGTCCACACAAAGTTATCACGTTAACGCTCACCTCTGATAACTAATCTCCTCCTAGATTGCCTCCAGTAATCCTCTTTAACAGGATGGCGGGTCTACAAATTTCTATCATGTTAATGATTACCTCTGATAGTCAACTCTGTCATTTTCGTAAATGACGTTACCCGATAAGTAGTAGCGTACCATGCGATGCGCTACTATTCTAATTAGTCGTCATACTCCTACTTCCCTGAATGGCCTGATCCTTTTCAAGCGTTCTAATCTTCTTAGAAAAATCGATGATAGTAGCCTACCATGCGATGTGCTACTATTCTAATCAGTCATCATACTCCTACATCCCTGAACGGCCTGATCCTTTCTGAGCGTTCTAATCTTCTTAGAAAAATCGATGATAGTAGTCTACCATGCGATGTGCTACTATTCTAATTAGTCGTCATACTCCTACGTCCCTGAACGGTTTGATTATTCTAACATTGTTATTCCCGTAGATGACGTTGTTCATCAATAGCGGCCTACCAAGCGATGTGCCTTATCGATCCCCTATTCCCAGATAGTGACCTACCAAGCGATGATTCTCTATTTCACTCTTGGGCTAAGTCGTCACACAAACGACATAGCCTAACCTAATTTACAACTTAATTGTTGTAATTAACATAACCTGATGCGTTGAACGGCTAAGGGGAGAGAAGAAATTTTAGCTTTATGTCTAAAAAAAACTTCTCAACAACTCATCGTACTGAGGGGAATAGTACGGCTAGCCTAATTCAAATGATAATTGGTAAAGGCAAATCAAATCCGTTAATAGCTGAGGGTTTGCTAAAAATCCTAAATTATGATTATTAAGTGCATGAAAGAAGAGAGCAATCAATGGATAAAACTGTAATTTTATTCATGTGATAACTGAAGTTACAGTAACAAAAGTTAGGTTACATGGACTAAACTCAAGTGGAATGAATAACATTACAAAGTTTGCCTACAAGTTCATTCAATGACCTTCAACGCTCCACTTCAACTTCATTCAATGCCTTCTTGTGCAACTTATCCTTGTAAAACATCATCAAGCTTCTTGCAGCGGTATCAAGCTTTTCTACCATTAATCCTACACGTTTTAGCTCTTGTTATTGAAATTCTGTCTCCCATTTCTTGGCAATAAATCTTCACCATTACCAACTTCCAACTACTCGGGTATGAGTTACAGAGTGAGAGGGTATCTCTAAGATAGGTGAAGTTGATTGCGAGGGAAGTTGGATAAGCATTTCAGTGGGTCTGTGAAGCTGCCACATATTCTAAAGCCCAAGATGAAGGATTGCATGCTTGGGGATGCTCAGCATGTTGAAGGAGTAAACAAGATGGGACTTGGAATATTTCCTCATGATTGTATTCAAAAGCCCAGCAAATTGCTGAAGCACCTCTTGACATTGGGTCTGAAAGATTGGGAGATTTCCAAGAATAGAGCAGCGGAACTGATCCACCTTTGTTCGAACTCCACCTGGGTCAATGTCACCAAGAGCCACTGCAAAACAAAGCAAAACTAAGTTAAAAAAATTGACACAATGGTTGAAAATTTTTCTAAGTATTTGAGTTAGGCAGGCTACACTGTGCAGGCGAGCTCCATCATGCAGGCGAGCGAACAAAGCTCGCCTAACACAATGAACATTGCCAGCCAAGTAGAGCTCGCCTGACAAGGTGAAGCTCGTCTAACAAAGCGAAGCTCGCCTGATGAGAAGGGCTCGCCTAGCAAGACGAAGCTCGCCCAACAAAGCGAAGCTCGCCTGATGAGCAAAGCTTGCCTAGCACCGGGAAGCTCACCAGACAAAGCGAAGCTCGCCTCTTGAGCATAGCTCGCATAGCAAGGCGAAGCGCACCACGCGGCAAAGCAATGTTGGCCTGAAAAAGTTACACGTCAACGAAGTGGTCAAGTGCGCCTGAACAGTAGAACTTCGCTAGAGTTGACGAAGCTCGCTAGAAAACGAACAACGTCTGTTCGTCTTCTCGCTATATATATATATATTATATATATATATATATATAGTATATATAATATAAATAATTATATATATATAGAGAGAGAGAGAGAGAGAGGGGGGAATATGGGTATGCTTGGTAGCCGAAAGCACAAAATTTGTGCTTGGTAGTGAGGTGGCACTATTATCCTCCACTCATTCAAATGGGGGACCAGCATTTCACATGGGGTGTAGATGTGGTCCCGCCAATTGAATGAGTGGATGGGAATGAGACACCTCTACTACCAAGCATAAAATTTGTGCTTAGTAGCCAAGTATACCATTTTTCTCATATAATATATACTATATATATATATATCATATATTATATATATATATATATATATATATATATATATATATATATATCTATATATATAATATATATATATATATTAAGTAGAGAGAGAGAGAGAGAGCGAAAGAGAGAGAGAGAGAGAAATTGGGTTATGCTTAGTACGCAGCCACAAATTTTGCGCTTCGGTAGTGATTGCTGGTCACATCCCTATCCACATTCATTACCCATCGTGAATGTGGTGCACAATATTTGAATGAGTGGAGGAGATAGCTGACCTATTACTACGCAAGCCGCAACTTTTGTTGCTTTGGTACCAAGCATTACCCATATTTCTCATATATATATATAATATAATATTATAGTGAGTATATTATATAATAATATATATATATATATAAATATTATATTATAGTATATGTATATATATATATATATATATCATATATAAAGATTAATGGATATCCTTAGTCATAAGCGAGGAGATTCTTGCTACTGTATCGCCCTATGTGGCACAATCCCCCCCATTGCCTCAATAATAATACGCCACAAGTCTCCATACCAACAATCAACTCCTGCTCTCCTACTTTATTGAGCAATGGTTCGAGGTTGTTCCAGCATTAAAGCATCCAAGGAGGAAATCCCCTCATATGACAAGGATACTATCAATCTATATCTATAATATATATGATATATTATATATACTATATAGTATATATACTATAATATATATATATATATATATATTCTATATATATTATATATATAGGTATAGTTATATATCATGTTAATTCATTAGCTGATCATCATAGAGAAAATGAAAATCTGTCACTCACACTTCGTTCTCTAATTGCAACTAAACATGGAATGAAAATTAGCCTTTCATTCATATAATATGGATTTTATTTTTATTTTATTTATTTATTTATTTGTTTTTGCCTTGAAATAGACTCATTATAATACTTATTCACAGAAATTAGCTCACTTCAAATTTATTTACAAAAATCAACTTAATTTTAGTTACATCAACACTATTGGATAAAACTGGATAATTTTTGAATGCGTGCACGACACAGAAAATTGAAGGCGGTTCGATTTGATTTTAACGTGGAAAGCATTTTATTGTTTTTTGCAAGTGTAAAGGTACTTATTTCGAGTTTAAAATGCGATGTTATTTCTAAAATTTATGAAAATTTGACACACAAATCAAAGAAGTTGCTTTTTCTTAAATAATAGTGTAGATGTTACTAATTAGATGAGGTTGATAATCCCACATAATTGGTAGATCATAGTTTAAAAACCGTATCTTAAATAATAGATTTGAGATGGAAATAGGGGTGTATCTTAAATAATAGATTTGAGATATGAAAACTCATATCTTGGTCGGTTATAGATCCTCAGATACGGATGCAGTTTTGCACCCCTATTTCCATCTCTACTAGAAGCCTGAAACTAGTATGACGCCATTCACGTTGCAAAGCAGCTGAACCTGTCCAGTACCATCAAAGGTTTTCTGACGTAATGCGTTGTAAAATCTAAAATGGTGATATATACTATGCCTGGAGACCTCAAAGATGTGCAGAACAATAAGTAAACAAGGATGTTTGAAATTTAATAATAATAATAATAATAATAACCAGTTGACACCAATTGAACAGAGGAAAAGTTCTCCCAGTCTAAACTGTATGATGATCAAAACTTTATCCTTTACACCAGAGGAGTAATATCGTTTGTTAGTATTCAAGGAAAACCGCATTATTTCATACGCTACAAAAAATCATCCTCTTTTTGGAAGTTACATGATTTCATAGGAAAATTTTACTACACAAATAATCTCCAGCTCAGGAGGATGACATGGTTAACAATAATAATCAAGGAGAGAAAAAAGTAGCAAAATGGAGAAGGCTTTGTGCAAATCGATTGAACACTGTTATTATATAAGAGCTTGCATGCCTATCTGTTGCATTTCTCTTAACTTCCAAATTGGGTAGAGCGCGTCTTCCCCCAACTCTTGTGCGTCAATTTGCTGCATGGCCCATGCATAGTACACCGTATGGATTGTATCCTAAAAAAGATAAGAAGCCAAATAAATTAACCGAACACTATTCCAAGAAAGAAAATTTGTGTTACTTATATAGAATAACAAAACGATAATTTGTATGATGCACAACCACCAAAATATTGTGGTTTTCAATTAGGCTGTAAACCAAAAAAAAAAGAGAATACTGAGTTACAGAAGGGAACATTATGAACTTTGTCTTATACGTTCATAGAGCTCTAATACTTTCATAGAGCATCGTGTACCTTTCCCCCGTCTGTTATAGAACCTTCTCGATCACGAACACAGTAGATCTGCTGTGTTTGAAACTGGAAAAAAGAACAAAAATATGGGGAAAAGAACTTTCAGCTTCCAATGGTGTGGTTTTGCAATTGTAAACAAAAATATTTGAAAACATAAAGCTTGTGAATTTAAAGGTGTATAGAAACTCTTACCCCAACAATTATAATGGGAGTAGATCCCATCATTTTGGTTTCTCTAACATCAACTTCAGAAATATGTAGAATCTGCATGGTCATACACAAAGTAGGTCTTAGAGACTGGACGAAATGTCCTATTATAAGAAAGATACAATTTTTTTCAGAAGAAGGCACCTTTTTTTTAACTTTTCAGCAAGAAAGGAGAAGATTTTATGATTTGAAAAATGGAATGCAAGAAAATAAAGAACATAGCTATTTCCTTCTACACAGTACTTAAAGTTCACCTCCCTAATATGCTCCCCTTGTTTAAATCTTGTATTTGGGGTTGATAGAGAAATTGATAATTTGGTAAACAATGCCGCTTGATTTCATCTCCCTAACATATGGTACTAGGGTGTAAAGTCCATACCATACGTTAAGTGTACACGCAATGTATTGCCACTAGATTTCAAAAAATTTCACATTTAATATGTAAATTTGTGCTCCATACCCCTCGATATCTATGTGCATACACTAAATTAGAGTTGCACTGGAGAATTTAAATGCACACTAGCTGGTCAACATTGTTGAACTCTTTATAGTGCAGCTAGATGAATTCAATGATGGTTGGAATCCATCGGAAAGATTCTCCTCTCCTATATCCACTAGGTGAAATCAATGGGCTTTTTTTCTTTCTTTTTTTTTTCTTTTTTTTTTCTTAGGTGAAATCAATGGCTGCTATTGGATTTATGTTCATGAAGCTGAATTAAGACTAGACGAATTCTAAAGGACAAAACATGTGTCTGGACAAGTGAATTCATTACACGGCTAACACTTGCTGGCATACAGTATCTGGATTCCATCAAAATCCTAGCATGAAGGCTTGTATTGGAATATACGAAGTACAACAAAATCCAAGACTCAAAGAAATCAATAAGTTTTTAGAATAAAGTATTTGTATCATACTATATAGAAGAAGTGCAACTAGAGGAGCCGAGTTAATCAAGGGCCCATATAAATATGTTGTTCCCGGATGGATTTGCATATCAAGTTGCTCCGAGGGTATGAACACTAAAGCAAAATTTTCTTTATATCATGACAATAAGTGCAATATCTATATTTATCCATGTCCATCCATGTCTTAGCTCATTTCATGTCTATCCAGCATCTACATAATCAATTTTGAAATACTGCAATCTTTAGAACATGATTGTGCAGTATACCATCTACATGTCTCAAAATCAGCTACAAGTTCTTGCACCATGTGAGTTATATAAAAAACTGAAGATGCTGTACAAGGTGTCAGAAATTCCGCATGTCTTCAACACTTCCATATCACCATAGCCCCTCATACAGAACACTCATTTAAGAAAAGATGAGATATTAGCGTTGAATTTAATCCCAGATCGAGTTAAGTGTCAACATTAATTGTCATTTGACTTGGGATCAATAAATCAGATTTATTTCTTTTACTCCTAGCAATCCACAGAATAATGCCACGATGAGCTTCAAGGGGCTGCATGCGTCTCTTTTGCATGACCTCCTTTACATCATAATATAGATTGCTAATGAACTTTTTTTCATTTCATATAGATAAGAAAATGCCTAATATTTTTATTCTAGGTAAATAACTAAGAAAACTGCATACATTGTTTCTAATAGTGAACTACGGAAATCATCCTCTATATTAAAACTATACATGCCAACAAATGCTCCAACAAGAGGCTATATATTATAAGTTATTAACTTTACAAGGTATCAGAAGAAAACATGCTGGACATTTCTATTGCACACCCTTTTTGCCTTGCACAATCTCCGCTAAATCACAATACAGATTGATGCTGGACCTTTTCCATTTCATATATATGAAAGACAACGTCCAGCAGTAGTTGGGACCAACATTACCATAACTGTACTTTTCAATCAAAAATGATTATAGTGAAAATGGGAATATAATTTGCCTACATCCTCCCTAGATGATCTGGCTACTTGACTTTTTAACTAGAAGCATTACATGCTTCTCTTCTGGAACCAAATGCTCAATATAACTACAGACCATTTTTTAAAACTATGCAAAACCAATGGCGTGTCTGCATCCACGTCAAATCACCAGCCCAGAGAAAGATATATAAACATATAATCAGATAGTTACCAGCACATTCTGCCATACCTTATTATCAAAAAAGATGCCCTGACTCGCGTATGCCTGACGCTCGCCTTTACACCGTTCAATCACTTCAGAGCTACAATATTTTTTCAAAGTCTCCAGATCACCCTGCATCAGACAATTGCATGTTGCTAAAACAGTACTTGAATTTCAAGACTCCACGAATGGTAACCAGACCAGAGCACAGGTTTAACCAAGAATTGTTTTCCTAATTAAGCTACAGAAAGTAATGAATATAGAGAAATTGTTCTCTTCCTAAGGTAATAACTTGCTTTATTATTGACTGATGCATGATACCTTGACATAGGCAGCCAGAACAGGCCTGACCATTTCCTGAACTTCAGCAACAAAATCAGGCAGAGAGAAATATCTACACCACAGAGAATACCATATAAAAGGGATTAATTAGTTAAACATAAATATTAGATTAAATACTGTTCCACAGGGCCCTAGTATCTCACGGATCGCGCCGTCGAATTTCCTTAAAAGATAGAGCAGTAGCAGTTTCCCCAAAGACAGTTTCATTCAAGCTGCATTTTCCCCCAAAAAAAAAGTGAGGCGACAATCAATATGTATTTGAATATGACTGAATATAAGAAATAGAAAATATAAGTATCTTTGTCAAGCTATCAGCATAATGATGGTTTGGTCTATTAGGTGACTTTACTGCTATACCAATGGTTAGGCAAGAGGGTAACATGCTAGTTTTCTCCTGTAGAAAAAAACAGCATCAGCATGTAGCTATATACGCATAAACCTTCCAACTGGATAAAGCCAACAGAGTCTAGTCCACAAAGATGGTTACATCCTCCAGATTTCTGCTGCATGCTTGTAAGGAATCAGCATATACAGAAAAACAAGCAGCAGCATGTAGCTAAGGGAAGTCCAACCTGATTGTGCATAACCTACGAACCAGACAAATGAAATGGAGCAAGGTCCATAAAGATGGCTAGATGCTTTGGATTTCTGATGCACGCTGAAGAATAAAATTAAAAAGTTGGGCTAATTTGCTTTAGATTGAGATTTCATCATTCAATGGTTATATATACATTGAGATATGATTAGGAATCATTTGGAAAGTAAATATAAAGTTGGCTAGTTGGCATGGTTAAATTCTCATCATTTTCTTTTTTAGCTTGTTAGATTTGTTTGCTTTTCAACTGATTAGAACCAGGCATTCAGTAAGGATCAGCTGTTAGTTGTTATCAGTTAAGATCAGTCGTTATCTAGTCGCACGCATGTACAGCCTATAAAAGAGCTAAGGTCTAAGTGTTGTAAATAGTTTTTTATTAATATAGAATGAAGCTCTTTCTTTGGAGATTAAGGTCTCAAGTTTATCTGGTTCCTCCTTCTACTGGATTTTATCTTTCTTCTATACGCCTATGTTTAGTTAGGAGTGAGTTGGAATTGCAAATGTGTTAGCAACATCATGTAGTTTCAACTTCTGTTTTTGGAAAACAATATGAATGCAATATCAACCCAACTATTTTTAAATCATTTTTTTTATGCAACATTAATGGACTTGTAACACTCAACCAAATGGGTACATTAGAATTTGGATGTATTTTTGATACTGCATAAGGCTCCAACTACGACTAACCCAACACACCCTAAGTTCTCAGGTTAACAACCCAAGAGTCTTAAGTCTGCTAGGCAAGATCAAATCCAAGTTTAATTTTCAAGATTGAAGTTGGTTATCTTGTAAATATGGCACATAGATGGTGAGGATGGTCACTAGTTAGGTCTGCACCAATATCAGAAAGTAGCATCAAAACGACAGGCATGATAATGGACCAGCCACTAGAATGTCTGACGGGCTAATAATTAGCATGAGAACAATTGGAGAATGCCAGAATTCCCTTTTACCATAGGTTTACATCAAGGATAACCAAAGCGCTTATTTCTTTGCTTCAGACATGGAGTACTCGCGTGCATTTTTTATCATGATCTTAAATTATTTGATGACACTTGAAAAAGGAAAACTTCTACCATAGGAAGATTGACAGAAGACTCAGAACTTAAAGAAGTCAGAGTTTGAATGAGGAACTCACGAAGTTTTATTTGAACAGGACTGGATGTAATCCAAGTTGATGATTTAGTTCTATTTGCTATGAGTTAGTGAGATTAAGGGTGTTATCCACAGAAGCAAAGAAAAATTGATTAAAATGAAGAAGTTTTTTTTCATGCATTAACCATTATTTTGTAGTCAATTTATGAACTAAAGGAAAAAATGATTGCGTTAAATAGGTATCTAATCAATTATGCTTTACATGTCAGAATGTTGGCAAATTAAAAAGAAATTTTTGAGTGTACCCAAAATTATTATCATAAGAAGAATAAGAAATAATTGCATTTGTGAGAAGTTAAATTTCACTTCAAAATTCAAATTTTAAGGATGATATTGAAGGAGAAATGCTTTAAAAAAGTTTGTGTGTTGCATGTGTGTGTGGGTGTGTGCATACATGTGTGTGTCATCGTGCATGCATGGTGGGTGTGTACACATATAATGTACACATATAAATACAAATACATATCATACTTCCTTTAAAAGCACGAGTTCGGGAAAATCTTTTCATGGTCAATATTACCCTTCGCTATTATAAATATTTTATTAATATATTAATCTATCTTAATTATAATTATATCATATCCTAATCCTATGTAAACTAACTATAGCTCAACAATTAAAAAAATAATATTAATAAAATATATAAAACAGCTTTACGGTATTAGTTTGTTAAGATAAAGAAGTTATACATAGCTAATATACTATAATACATGAAATATTACAAAAAATCTAAAAAAATTTAAAATTGCACAAAATACCCTGAAAAAATTTAAAATTATAAAAACATCCTCATGTTTCAAAACTTAAAACAACAAACATTAATCAAGAAATTAACAACAGACTATTGAGAATTTAAAATTTACAGTTAACACTTGAATGTCTCAAAAATTATAGAAACACCCTCAAAAGTTTAAATTATAAATAAGCACCCTGAAATTTTAAAATTTCAAAACTTTCAAACAACATGAATGAATTCAAGGGATCACCATGATGCACCTGAAAATTTTTAATATTTCAAACTTAGAACAACAAACAAAAAATTAAGAAATTAACAGTACCCTCTAAAGAATTTAAAATTTTTAATTAATACCCTCAATGTCTCAAAATTTATAGAAACACTCTTAAAAGTGCAAATTATAAAAAACCACCATAAAATTCTAAAATTTTAAAATTTACAAACAATAACAGATGAATTCAACATATTACCTTCATGCACCTAAAAATTTAAAATTTATCAAAATTAACCTTAAAGTTACAAAAAATGGAACAAAAAACTTCTTTAAAATTTAAAAATCGCAAAAAAAAAAATTAAATTTCAAAATTTATAACAAATACACGTTAAATCTGGAAATTATTAGCAGGTCGCTAATATTTGAGTTTTTCAAAAATTAATCTATAATTTTAGGGTTTACTATCTCTTTTTAGGATCTAAAAGTAATCTAAGTTGATGCTGGTAAACAAAAGCAAGAATTGATTAAAAATAATTGGCGAACGAATAAAAATTTTAAAAATATATGATAGCTTTAAAATTATTGTCACTATATAAATCAAAGTAACTGCGTGTAATTTTACTAATAAGTTAGAGCATAAAAAATACATTAGTAACACTAATTGATAAATGTTTAAATCCATAAAAATGATAAAAGACTAATATAATAGCCTAGCATCGATTGATTATAATTTAGAAACATTAATCTCCGATGTTAATAATATTTATAGGGTATAATAATGCAAGGAATTACATATGGAGAAATTATCAGAATGTTCAGAGATATCATTCAAAAGAATCAAGCTATTTCCATTGCAAATAAGAAAGTCACAGAAATAAATAAAAAAGTACCAACTGAGTTCCATTGAAGAATAATTTAACAACTTTATCTTAATCAAAGAAGAATTCTCCATGGGAGATACAAGAAAAATTAGTAAGTATTCATAAATTTCATACTTTGCTCTTCAAATACTAAAAAAATTAAATATTAATACTATAATCTAAGGCAAATTGGTAATGAAAAATGCAAGTCTTTAGTTCAGATCTTTGTGAAAAATGATAGGGATAGAACAAAGGTAACATTATTGATATAATAGAAACTCTTATTAGATGCACATTAGAAGAATTCATTATAGAGGTATTTAAGTAATAAATTAGGAACACAAATAATTATATATATATATATATATATGAAATTAAAATTTATTCTCATTGAAATAGAAAAAAATATTAAAGTATCTATTTCAAGGAGTTTATGTTGAACATTAGAAATACATTAGACTTTTTTGTAAAGTTAAACGAGAAGATAAAAGAATAACGAGCCTAGAAAAGATAACAGTGCAAAGAATATAACTCCAGCCTGATGTCACAATCGATGTAGATAATGAAGACACTATTCTAGAATTACCCAGGAAAAAGATAAAAATGAAGAATGGTTGATCTTAGCTCAATAAAAAAATAAAATAGAAT